ATTCCCATGCATTCTTTTTTGGCAAAAGGTCAGTGGAGTGTATTTTTGTACTAAGTGGTTTGCTTTGCACAGCTATACCATAAATTTCTTTGGAATTCAGAGTTATCTGTGAAAATCCCTAACTATATAACAAAGAACAACATAAAATAAGTTAGATAAAAAGATAAGGAAAGCTATGTCTGCAGCAGTGATTTGTGAGAAATGCAGAGGTACAGAAAAAGAAGTGAAAACCATTTCTCTTTAACCAACATTGGTGATATTTATTCTTGTATGTAATCTGAAATTGTCTAGATTATCTTGGTAGTCCATTATGGATCTCTTGGAATAGATATCCTGCTAGACATTTTTGAAGAGTGCTATCGAGGCGCTGTTTACAGTCATCACTTTTCTACAGGCACGCAGCAAAGCTCGGGAGTTAATTGCTGCTTCACTGTGATGTCTGGAGCTTGACACAGCTGGTAGCCAGATTTCATTTTTGTGTTTTAATTTTAACTCCAGTATGGGAGAGGAGCCTGTAATAAAGGCTTGAGCATATCTGGTTTCAGCATAGATTCTACCCCCATAGCTGACACTGCTTGACATCGGTTAAATTAAAGGTTGACCGGGCATGTCCTATCAGCTGCCACCTTGAAACTGACCTCCAGCTCCAAGATGAGGCCTGCTGACAACTGAGCAGGGGGTGTTTGCATCCCTCTTGTCATGTGTTGCCTATTTGAGAGCTTCAAAGGCAAATATACTCAAGTGCTAAAACTGTCTTTTCAAATGTATATGCCAAAATAGTAATTCAACTGGGTAAATAACATAGCAGTTTAAATGAATAAGTGTTATTTAGTTGATAAATATATGTTTGACTGAATGATTGAAATGGCTCCCCTGGGTAAAATGAAGAAGTATGCTTTCAAAACTCTCTTTTGTATATGTTTATAGAGAAGAAACGACAGAAAAAAAATCAAGTATCCATGGGGTTATGAGATAAACAGACAAAACCCTAAAACAGTCACCCACAGCTCAGATAATGATGTTGGGATTTATTTGTTCACAGTAGTATGAGTTGTTTGGGTTAGTTTTTCTTCCTAGATTTGTCAGTTTGTCACATCTGTAACTTCACTTACATGTAGTTGATGTTTGAATGCAATCTTCAGTGGTCCATCAAAATGGAAAAGCCTCTAAAAATAGCTGGAGGGGAGTAAGTCAGGTGGGGAGATGCTTCTCTACATGAGGAGGTGAAGACTGAAGGGAGCTATAAAAAAGTTTACTTACGAAGTCTGCCTCTAGAGACTCTGAAAGTGAAGCTGTTAGTGCAGAAAAAGGCACTGCAAATATAAAGTGAGGCTCCCATTCTGCTTTTCAGGTTTAAACAAATACACTTAAGCATATTAATTAAGAAAAGAGGTTTAGTGGTCATATCTACTTTGCATTTCATTTCTGGGTTTCTAACTTGGGAAGGAAGGAACATGAAGAGGCCAGTGTTGAGACACCTCCTGTAGTATTTTTATGTGACTGCTCTACATTGCTCATCTTCAGATCATTGCTAATATTTCTGTTTTACAAGTAGTCATCTGAGAACATTGAGATCATGACCAAGACAGGTGCTGTGTCAAAGCAAGGAGTAGAACCAGGATGCTCTCACTTACTAGCTTTTTGGCTCATACCGATAAGAGTAACTCCATGGGAACTTCTGAGAGTATGATTCAATAATGCATAATCTTTTGAGCTCTGATAGCTTACTGGACTTAAAACTTGATAAGTTTTTGGTTAAACTTGCAAATATAGAACTTACATAGAACTTCAAGCATTTCTAAATCGTGTTATTTCAGCTTTGTATTGTAAAGCCATAAAACCAGGATGTCATGTATTAAATTCTTAGAGTCAGAAAGAAGGATCCCTTTCAGTATGTCAGAGGTGAGGCAGCAGCTGTTTCTCACAGACCTGGCACATGCTGGCTATAGATGCATGCCATACCACAGAAATACAGACTGGAACACAGGGGGCATCCATCTGTTCCATTCTTTATTGTAAGCTAAGTAGATCTTGATCACTTGTGATAACTGCTCATCTAACTTCCTCTTAAAATCCTCTGCTGTGTTGAATGCCCACAGCTGTCACAGGTCTCTTTCTAGGTAGATTTTCTTGGGACACTGAAATGTCCCAGTTGGACAACTAGAAAACCAGGTCATTTGTGTTGCAGAGCAAAAAAAGAGCATCTATGGGGAGATGCTTCCAAAGATGTACAAATTCAATTCTGACCTGCAGTTTTTACCAATTTTTAAGCTAGCAACTTCAAAATTTTCATGAGACACTGTGTGTTAGTCTTCCCACCTTAATTACTGTCGTGGTTTAAGCCCAGCCGGCAACTTGGAACCACGCAGCCGCTCGCTCACTCCCCCCCCCCTTCCTTCCTTCCCCCACTCCCGGAGGGATGGGGAGGAGAATCGGAGGAATGTAACTCCCACGGGTTGAGATAACAGCACTCCAGTAACTAAGGGATAATACAAACCACTACTGCTACCAATAATAATGATAAGAGGAATAACAAGGGAAAAGGACACAACCGCTCACCACCCGCCGACCGATACCCAGCCCGACCCGAGCAGCGATCTGGGCCTTCCGGGTAACTCTCCCCAGTTTATATACTGGGCATGACGTGCTGTGGTATGGAATACCCCTTTGGCCAGTTTGGGTCAGGTGTCCTGCCTCTGCTTCCTCCTGGCTTCCCCTCCTCTCTGGCAAAGCATGAGACTGAGAAAGTCCTTGGTCGGAGTAAACATTACTGAGCAACAACTAAAAACATCGGTGTTATCAGCGTTGTTCCCAGACTGAAAATCAAGAAACACAGCACCGCACCAGCTACTAAGAAGGAGAAAAAATGACTGCTGTAGCTGAACCCAGGACAATTACTTTTATCACAATAATAATGCCTACTCTGATACTTCCTGGAAATAGCTTTTTCTTTGACTCTTTCACTTTGACAATGGATATAGTGATCCTGAAGAGCAAGGCTCTTTAGAATGTGTCAAGGGGTCTCTTCTCAGGTTGGATACTGGTGTTTAAGTATGCACAACTGCTTTCAAAGAGATCAGTAACAGCACACTTTTTAAAAACGATGAAAAAAACCCCATCATCATTTATTACCATAACTTGGAATTGTGAAGTGAAGGAAGTGTTAATGCTGCACACAAAGGAGAGGAAGGAGCCCTCAGTCTTACACTGACTTCCCAGCCCTGCCAGTGATTCCAGTGTAGCATTCAACTGGTGATGCTTTGTGCTCTGTACCTGTTCTTCCCATACATGTGGGTAAGGGCTGGTTTAAATTCTGGTGAGATGGTGCCTCACTTCACTGCGATAGGAACTTTGAGATAGCTGCTATTGCAGTAATCCATTACAAATGAAATACAGTTTTTATGCAACGTTACATGTTTGAATGTGGTTGATACCTGTGATCTTGGGTGGTTCTGAAGACCCATTGGTTGACATTTTCAGCCGGTTTTCCTTTCTTTGCAGCCTGTCTTTGCAGCAGCTTCTGCTTTCTTTTTATCTTGTTTTTTGTTAGTGCTGGGATGTTATTGTAGACCCATTAACACAGAAAATGAAAAAATAAAAAAGTTGCCAAGACCTGTGTAGCAGCTGGTATTCAGATCATTCTTTTACCATTTCAGAACACTGCCAACATAATATCTGTTTCATTATGTACAAGTGTAAGTGCTGCTAACATAGATAATTTGGAATCTATAATTGAAACCGTGCTATTGCAGCTCTCTCAATTAAAGATAGTCAAGACAGAAAAGCTGTTATGTACTTACCTGCTGGAATTATATGTCATTCTGTGCCATCCTGTTACATTCATACAGTGCTGGAATATATTTCAAAAGTAACTTGCCATTTATTGAAAACAGCATTACACCATGAAAAAAACATGGAGTAAACATTGAGATTGCACTAATACTGTCAGGTTGTATCAGAGGTGTCACTACTATTTTGTGTGTAGTAATAGTGATATTAATGGTACCAGTACATTTCTGTGGTTGTTAACATACTTTCTGTGGGTTTTTAGTCTTTATAGTTTCTGTGGTAATAATTCTAAAACTGATTTCTCACCATGTTGTTTGGGAATATGGAACACAAATCAAATGTAGCTATATCCTGCAGCTTGAAAACGCTGGTAACTCTTCGTGTACTCCATATTTAATATATGTGTAGCCTCAGAACCATCCTGTTCAGCTAAGAACAGAAGAGGTTTGCACCATGTTTTAAAGCCTGACTATTTCATGGGCTGGAAGCCAAAGCACTCGACCAGAAGGGTTTTGTATCTTGTCTTCAATAATGCATGTTAAAGAACCATCAAAGAATGGATCTTAACTAACCACAGCACGAGGGAGAAAGACTTGTATATACTCCCTGCTTCAGGCAGAGAGAACTTAAAAGGCAATGCATTGAGTTGTACTAACTTTCTTTAAAGAAGGAGAGATGCACATTAGAGTACAGAGACTGTCCTCTAAACCCTTTTCTGTGCATTCCGTTTCTTCTGTCAACTCTCTTGTCTATGGCCTGGAGTTTATTGGACTACTTTACTATATAAGAGTGATAAAAAAAACATGCAATCAGTTCATTTAGACTGAAGTTACCCCTTCAGTTCACCTTTCTGATATCTTTTTTATATCCTGGTTGTGTACTCGATGCAGCTGAATAGAGCTCAGGGAGACTTGCATGTGCTTCATTGATTCTCTAATGTTACTGTCTTTGATCAGTAAAGAGCAATGGCAGAATTAAAGGGTTGGAGGGAGTAGAAGACTGCAGATGCTCCACAGAAAAAGGTCTTCTTCAAATACAGGGGCCAAATTCCTACATACTGATCGAAACAGCAGGCAGATTGCTTCGGAGTAAGAAAGGAAAGTTACAGTTTGATTTAAAAGGTGGCATTGCCACAGATGTTCATCTCGAATAAAAATACCTGTATTAAAAGCAGTTATCTCATTTGGTTTTTGTTTGCTTTTATTTTATAGGCCCGTGGGTCGCTAGAAATAGCAGCATAGATAGCGGAGAAACAGAAGTTGGCCGCAGGGTCACCCAGGAAGTGCCCCCTGGGGTTTTCTGGCGGTCTCAGATCCATATCACCCAGCCACAGTTCCTGAAGTTCAACATATCCTTAGGGAAGGATGCTCTTTTTGGTGTTTATATAAGAAGAGGACTCCCACCATCACATGCCCAGGTACTTTGTCAATGTGTTTGTTGGCTTTAAATGTCAAAATGCAAAAGTTTAGAGCATCTATGTTAGATTTGTGTTGGAGCTTATGGAACTCAAGTTTAAGGATTCCTGGGAATTACTTAATTTGTGATATTTGACTGAACACCCTGATATTATTTCTAGGTTATTACATACCTCAACAGTATGTGATAAAAGAAGTAAATGATGTTCTAGCCATCCAGGTTTTTAAGGTAACTTGCAGTTTGGCACTCAAGGTTTTAAATCTCTGAAAAAGTCTTGGCACCAATTGAGATAAACCTATCCAGTTATACACCAGTCAAAAATGATAAGCAGTGTTGGTCAGACTCACAGTATCAAAGCTCTACATACAGTTGGAGTGCATGCACAGCTAGATGTGTTAAGATATAGTTTTCTATCTTCCTAGAAGTTTTAATGTCCACAGGCTGTTGGGATGTCATTGCTGGGGTATGCAACAGACTGGCATCACTGCTGCCCAGCCATATTGGACAACATAATGCAGTGGCCATGTGTTTATGTCTTTTCCTGCTTTCCTCTCAAGGATGGTATTTAGGTCTAACATCAGACTCAGACATGGGGCAAGTCTTGCCATTGGAAAACTTGATTTCTAACCAGCCTCAAAATGAAAACTTAGTAACACCGCATCCTTATGGTGACTGTGTAGTACAGGCTTACAGCTGTTAAGTTAGTGAGACCAAACTGAACTGTCTTTTTCTTCTTGGTTGTGCAGTGGGTGTTTTAATTGCTGTGAGAAGATATACCTGTATTTTCTGTTACATAGACAAATTTTGTTGTTATATTGAAAACTCATTAATGTGACTGGAAGGCTTCCCATTTACTTAGATTAGAACTGTAATGAGAAATAATACATTTGAAGTTACACATACTAAAAAGAAAGAGCCTCCATTCTTTGGAGTGCAAGGGAAGCAGAAATAGCAACCAGCTTTTGAAAAGGATCCCTTCTTTCATGCATATCCTTGCAGCTAAAAATCAGTTCTTCATTCCGAAATTATCACTTAAACTTTAAATGGTTTATTTAGTATGGGATTTCCAGAAAGCAAATATAGAACTCCATGATCCCTTTTGGGAAAGCCTCATTTAACATTTCTAGATGCCTTGCCCTGATTTACAAAGAGCTGCTACTGCAGCAAACTGCAGCTACCTAAATGGTTAAAAGGCATGATTGAAGCTAAAAGCCCAGAGGCTTTAACATAATTGCATAGCTACATATTGCTGTAGAGGGGAAGGATGTTCATATTGCCCTGAGTGAACTGTGTCCATGTGTATGCACAAACTCATGGTACAAACAGTGAACCAATTAATTTTCTGGGGAAAACACGCTTACGTTAACTGATGTTTGGATCTGCTTCCCAGTGTGAGGCAAATTTAAGGAACTATTCTGCGTTGCCGCTTGTTCCTTGGTATTTATTCTGGCCTATAGTCTGAATTGTAAACCAAAATCTTTGAAGAGGTTTACATAGTTTCATGGCATCTACTTCTAGAAATTTGTGAACAAGGAGCTTTGACTATCCAAACCCCATCAGACCCCTGTAATATGCTGTTTGAAAATGTTCTGTGAGTTATTGAACTGATATATCTGCCTGGTTAGAAATGAGGATCAGCAGTCCACAGCCGCAGGAGGGGAGGTAAGATGACAGTTTTCTGAATAGCTAGAGGTTAGCATCCAGCATCCTGAGGTTCCATACAAAGACTAGATACATTGTGGAAATTGTAGTGGGCTATTGAATTTTTCAGCCATTTCCAGGCGTCCATGCAACTCAGAAGATATCCTCTGAGAATATATTCCAGGGTGGGAACCTTTAGAGTGTTTTAATTTTGGCTGCAATGCTTCAATATGTTGTTTTGAAGGGTGAAATTATGTCTTTAATTGTTACAGTGAAGGAATGGCATCATATATTGACCATGTCTCATTTAATTCAGAATTTTGGCTCTCACTTCCCCTATCTATCCACCTTGTAAAAAACCAGCAATTTAGTTGAGGAAGGCAACAAATATATAAATCATGATGTGAAAATGACTTAGGGCAACCAAAGCTCCTAAGCAGTCATCAAGTTTAGCTATAAATACAAGTTAATTATAATTGTCTAAGACATGATGGAGGGATGCCTGTATCTTTCACTAGAAATTCAGTTGGATTTAACTGGTAGTAGAAAATATTTTTTTAATTCAAGCTGAACTTTAATTTCTATTGCACTGTGATCAAATATGTTTGTTTTAGTTTTCATTATGATGTTCTCATCTCAAAAGACTACGATCAGGTGAAGTTTCTCTTCTTTCTTTTATTCCATCTTATGTGAATTGGATATAAATTTTGTGACCTTTCTGTTATATTAAATAATGAGTAATATAAACTGTGTTTCCTACTGAGCTGGATTCCTCCTTAGAGAACCTGTTTTCTAGGCTTTAGAGGAAGCAATTCCAACCCTTTTCCATAAAAGGAGTTAATGAAATCCACCAGTATAATCTACAGAATTACCTTCCCATATTCATGCTGCGTCTTACTGCTTGTCAACAGGGTGGTAAAGCAGAAGATTGCTTAGCATTTTTGCCCAGCAATCAAAACTCAGCCACGCTGCTACCAAGAGAAATAATTTTAGAGAAAGAAAGGCAAGCTGTTACAGATCTGGGTTAGTGAAAAGAACCCTTTTGTGACACAAAGGAGGAGAATGGTTTTGTATTAATGAAAATAGTCTGAAGTTGACACCAGATGATATTTTAAAATTGAAATTTTAAATCCTTGTTTCTGCGGGTTAGGAACATGAGCTGCAAAGCAGTGAACAACTACACTTGACAGTTCATCACTGATCAGTGCTGATATGTCAAGCCAAGTAAAATCCTTTGTGGGAGCAAGTCAATAATCAGCAAATTAGGTACATGATTAACCTGAGACAACAAGATGCAGTTCCTGTCTGAGAGCCCTGCTGAGATTTAACCTTCTCAGTATTACTGTTTAGCAAATATTCCAAATGCCTGGTTTAGTCAGTCAAACTGATGTAGCTGTAAACTTGTCTAGAAGCAGCCTTGTGTGCCATGTGCATAGGGAATGGAGCTCTGGGGGGAAAAGTGAAAATGCAGTTTTGAGTGGCAAGCAGACTATAAACAGGAATGCGTTCCTTTCAAGCAAAATTCTTCCAACCTGTGTAGTAATACATAGAAATAACAAAATGCACATTGCAGGCTTGAATGATTAATAGGGAACTAGGAGAAGATAGTCATATTAATAAAATTGATAATGTATAGAAAATTAACTGTAAATGTCGAATAATGCATGAACTGGCTTTACAGAGATTACAGCAATTATGATGATGCTACACATTGGTAGAACATTTAAAATGACATATGGAATAAGGTAACCTTTGATAGAAACATCATTATGATGTCTGGAGAAGGTAGTTCATGAAGTTGTAAGGTTTTAATTTCCAGCAGTGTTGTATACTTACAAATTTTCCATGTAAAAATGAAAATTCTTTTCATTTAGAGCAGGAAATGGCTTTATTTGAAACAACTTAAATAGCTGGAGAGCTTCGGTGTTACCTTGTTTTTTAGCCAGTGCTCAAATACACTTAGGTGCTCTGGCCACCTTCAAGTTACCTTACGGCAGCTGAGCTGTTATTACTGAATGCTGTGCAGCACTGGACTGGTTGTGTGGTGTCACATTCAAATGTTGAAACAAATTGGTTGGCTGTCACTGTGGGTATCAGATGTTTCATGGGTGTATTTTAATGAATAATTACCAACTGGATTTTATGAAGAACTAATTTTAAAGCACTTTTCAAACAAGTTTCCCTGACATATGTTTTCTTGGCTGCTTAGGTCTTACAGGGCTTTGGCATAAAGACAAATGCTAGCCACAACTCCAAACATGGGGTTTTTCCTCCCTCCTCTTCCCCCCGCCCAACCATGGGGAGTTTTGCTGACTCCCCATGATTACTGGAAAAAGAAAGTCCTTATTAGCCTATGAATAAAATGCTTGGGAGGATAGAAAGCACTGAATGGAGAAATTATGAAAGCAAATTGCCCACGAAGAACTTAGTATGTGATTTAGGTTTGTAAATAAAAGTATGCAGTAGGGTTTTGATATGCTGTGTAGTAAAAATAAACCAACTGACTGAGAACGTGCATTTGGAATTTCATTAGAAATATAGGCTGGCAAGTCACTGCTTCTATGGCGCTTTAATCATAATAAGCACTCTCCACTGCAAAACTGATCTCTGAAGGTGTAGTCATTTGGAATTTCTGGTGCATTTTATTTCTGAGCAGTTTTTCCCAGTTTTGTGTGACTTTTGGCATGAAGCCCTGAAATATAAAGGATCATTAAAAGAAAAAAAGAAAAAAAGTCAGTGAAAGTTCTAAACTACTTCAGAGATTCAGCTGGGTTTGACAGATCCATTCCCCAATTCATGTGACTTAGTGGTCTCTTCCTTAGCAGTTGTGTGTTAGATTAAAAACTCTACAGTTGCTTCCTAATGATCATGAAAGTGCTTTCATTCTTTTTCTCAATGGGGCTTCTGTGCATACTTGTTAATAAGCAGCTTTAAAGCAAGAGTGATATCTTCAGCACAACATTATATGAAAGCAATTAATCATGCAACTGGTGAATCAGAAAATCAACAGGGCCACAAGAAGCAAACTAACGATCTAGCTAACCATGTGAAGAAATCTTACCCAGTTGTGAGTTCCCAGTACCATCTCCGTGACCCTTTAGTCAGGGAGTTCACATTTTGGGGTACATACACCAGGTACGTGCTGACACATTAAGATCTGTACATGCAGGGAACTACCAGCAGATTCATTCTCTTCCTTCTTTTTCCTTAGCACTGAGGAATCAAAAGAGGGATAAAAATGTATTGTTATGTTCTGTATCAGTTTGCTCCAGTACTTTACTGTTTGTAAAGTTATTCAGGTTTAGTCATTTGGCTTTTGCCTGAGCTTCAAATAGTTCTTCATAGTTGAAGACGGGCAATACCAGTCATAACTTTACCAAAGTTACAATTGTAGCCTTATGGGAGGTCATGCCAAGGGACCTGCTCTCACTAGGTCATACCCCATCATTGTGAAAAGAGATTCTGCAGCTAAAACTACTTCAAACTGTTTCAGCCTGAATACTCTTCCCCTTCGATCTTGCCAACTGCTGAGCTTTCTCTACTATATGAGGTAGAATCAGCATCAAACAGAGGGGAGGCAGAGGAACCTGCCAGCACAAGCAGAGATGAACAGCATGTTGCCAGTGAGAAATGTCAGCTTTTATTGCTACTTCCTTAGTTGACCCTTTGTGAACAATTGTTCTGAAGAGCAAGATTTCTTTTTCCCAAGATGTTGCCCAAGTAATAACATTTCCCAAGGAGGTGATGAGTCTGTCCTTAACCTCTGACTGTTAGACAGTGGGTTTTAGCAATATTTCCAGGTGTCGCTGATTTAAGAGATAGTTGTGTGTGTGTTTGGCACCTGTGATACTCTGAAAGTTACTGACATGCCAGAATTCTCTGGTCTGCATTGGCTTAAATGTACTAATTTACCTGTGTTACCTTCTCCTGAAATAATCCTTTTGTGGGGGAAAAAAAAAAGGATGGCAATCTGATATTAACGGTTCAGTGACACTTTTTATTCTACCTCTCCTACTCTCTCCCACAATTAAAGTCATAGGAAAGAGAGTGATAATAGCTTTCAACATTAGTAGACCTGGGCTCAAATTCCTACTCTGCCATGGATTTCCTTTGTGGTTGCATATTGGTGTCAGTTCCACATGTTTAACTGGAAGGTAATGGTACTTCCATGCTTTTCCCTTTGTTGTAAGGCTGAGCGTATCAGGGACTCTACACTGCTCATATATAACTGCTACAGGTTTTCAAACAGAAAGGCCAGCTTTCATACCCCATTTTTAGAGAGATGTGCAGCATGGCACTTAGTGTTAAATCAGTTCATTTGTCTGTCTCTTCTACTAGAAGGGAGAATCTTCACTGTTTTATTGCATATTGTGTATTATTTGCTAGAACTCACTGTTAATGAGTAGAATGCAGTGCACAAAACAGCCGTCTGTGGATGTTTAGTCTGTTTAGGATGCCAGATTACAGTTTTCTATTTCAACTGAAAGCAAGTGAAGGTGTGTTTTCCCATAGCTGTCGCAAGCACAGACTGTATGTGCTAGAGGGAAATGCAATGAAACTACTGGCAAGCAAGAACATGCTATTACTGTATTTTATTGAACACATACATCTTTCTTTAGACATGTCTATCTCTCTCTATCTACTCCTACATAGATAAATGTGTCTAAAACAAGATGGGTTTTCATGGGGGACTTGTTATACAACTATCAAAAGATTAGATATATTGTTTTTGTTGTTTCTTTAAGGGCTTCCTTTAGATAGGGACTATGAGAACTAGGAAGTTGGGCATTAGCATCAGCATCAGCTTGAGGGCTCCAGAGTCACAGACATTAAAGACAGACAGAAAACCTATTAGGACAGCTAGCCCAGCTGCTTTGTTATGCAGTTATTCCCTGTTGTAGATTAACCAATATTTCTTCCAGTCCTGTTTAATTGTGTGATGCGGTGGCATCTCCATTGGGAGGCTATTTACTGAGCTTAATAGATGGGAAGCTTATCTGACATTCATCTTAAATTTCTTTCTTTCTTTTTTTAGTTTCATGCCATTGATGGTGCCATTCCTCTTATGCTCAAAATAATCACTTGCTCTGTTTGATTCCTTTTCCAAAGATTAATGTAATGTTCTACCTTACTTGGAAAACATCGAACCAGAAATTCTCAATTTTCCTTAATATAAGTTCAATTCTTTCAGCCACTTGATTTGTGTTATTCCTTTCCATGCTCCCTCTGGTTTTTGTATCCTACTTGTTCCACATACAAACTCAGGTAAGCAACTCTTACTCTGTGATGTAAGCTTGTACAGTGTCTTTTTCTCGGGTGCTAATTTTAGACAAGCACATTTCTTCTTTGGGCTGTTCCTGGTTTTTTTTGAAGTTCTGGGGGCACCCATTCACTTATATGTCTGGAGCTACATCCAAGACTTCTGTTCCTCTTGCAGCAAGAATTTATTATAGGCAGTTGCTTAGAAAAAGGTGTGTGTCTCATACGGTGAAGGTTTCCAGCTTTGAAAGCTGTGTAGGAACCTAAAATTTGATGGGTCAAATAACTGATTTTAATTTCTTTTTCAAAACCCAACCTGTCAAGAAATACCATTTGTACATATTTTGATCATGTATTGAGAGCAAAAATGCATGATTCTATGGCACTGTTTAAGAAAGACAAGAGTCACAGAACCTCTGTGTGTTCCAATGCTCACTAGTAAGTATCAGTTTCATGTTGACATATCTTCCAGAAATACCATTTTATGACCAGGTAGAAGAGAAAATACGGTGTTAGATTTTGAGCTGACAGGTCTGTTTGTTTGGGGGTTTGTTTGTGTTCTTTTTCTTTCCCCCACCCCCCTGTTTTTTTCCACTGCAGTATGATTTCATGGAACGCTTGGATGGGAAAGAGAAATGGAGTGTGGTGGAGTCCCCACGGGAACGTCGAAGTATTCAGACCCTTGTTCAGAATGAGGCTGTGTTTGTTCAATACTTGGATGTGGGTTTGTGGCACCTGGCATTTTACAATGATGGCAAGGACAAAGAAGTAGTGTCTTTCAGTACAGTTATTTTGGGTAGGTATCTCCACAGCCTGAACATTGTTCCTATCTGCTTATACTTTGCCTTACTTAAAGCCATAATACTTCATTGTGGTCTTCAGTATTAGTCTTGTTTGTCCTTATGTTATGAGTTGGGTTTTTTTTTTCTCAACGCTATCTCAAAAGGTCTGCAATGGGGTGCTGATTTGAATTTGCTGATTTCTCTTTTAAGATTTTAGCATTCCCTTAGATCTTGAGTTTAGTTATGGAAAACAAGGCTAACATCTAAGTTCAGTCTGGGTTGAAGCATTCCCCAGTTAATATTGCTCTCCTTTATCAATTTTATACTTCCTATTTGCTTCTCTGGAGAAGCTTCTTTATCTGGAATAAAGAATATTCTTTATTATGGAAGAATATCCATCAGGAGAGCTGTTTAATCATAGTAGAAAGACAGCACAACAAACTGACACCTGCGAATGAGGTTATTGTTTGCAGAGATTAACCAAGAATGTTAGTTAGCTGTGTGCTGGTTTGCAGCTTGCAGCTTAGTACTCACTAATCACTAGATAGTGGGTCATCTCCTCAACATGGTAGAATCAAGAGCAGAAGAACACCTAACCTGTGATCTGAGAAACCTGCAGTTTTGTTAGAAGAATAGGGTTACATTTAGTTGAAAATCAAACTAAGTCTAAATTCTTCCAAACTTCTTAGAAGATTTTTTGAACTTTGAAGCACTTAATGAACTTTGCTGAATATCTTGACACGGTGGCATAAAAATTCTGTGATAGTCTGTGTGGAATTCTGTCCTGGCTGGTGAAGGGTTAAATGGCACTAGATTGTCTAAAATTGTAATACCTGTTAGTTTAGGGCAAGAGAAACTGCAAAAAGTCCAAGTGAGTTTTTAAGCTTGGTAAAAAATGGTTAGAGGTCTTTTGCAGTCTTACCTCATTAATGATATGAAGCTTGTATTTTTTCCTTTTACATTAGCATAAAATTCAGTTTGTTGGCTTAAAACCCAAAGGGTACAGGAGGATGGTCAATACTCTTTCATTAAGTATGAATCTAATTGTTTCTGTTAACCTCAGTTGAGGTGAAAAAAATCTTTTTCTTTCATAGCTTATATCTGGGTTTGTAAGAGTTAGTAGGTGCTATGCATGTGGATATATATATCTGCATACTTGCCCACAGAAGGCTTTCTCTGCTTCTCCAAAACCAACAAGAACATTTGTGCTTACGTCCTGTTACACAGCTATTGTGCTTATCAATAGCTTCAGATATGATAAGCTGTCCTTAAAAGAGTTGCCTGGTCTAGGCTACAGCTTTCAAGAGCATCAAAAGTCTAATAGTCAAGTAGACTACTTGGTAGTGCAATAATAGTAATTGGGCTGAAATGTAGAGAAAAGTATAGTGGTTTATCCAGTCCAGAGGTTCTCCTGCACACACCTAGTATCAGACATTTCATTATCAAAGAATCTGAGACAGCTGAAAGTTTCTCTGATGTGGAAGAGGAGAAAGAATAACAGAAATGATGTTAACACTCAGAAAATACTACGTTTACCTTTTTTTTTTTGAATACACAGAAAATGCTTTTCTGTGCCATGGAGCAAAATAATGAAAACGATCTATACACAAGCTTCTTCATGAGACTGATTGATATCTTTGAGGATTACATTTCAGGGATTTTTTTCCATTGTTTACATGAATCGTTTCAAGTGGCCAAGTTAATGACTTCTCTGAAAATTTGCTTTACAGTGTTTTTATTTAGTGTCCTACAACTGTGAAATTAGGATTAAAATTGTGCTTGAATCTTTCTCCTCTATTCAGTTTAATTTGACAGAAAAATATGTTATGTGATTCTGCTAGTTCCAAATCCAAAATTCATTTTCTGTGATGTGCAGCTGCTGTTTGTTTGGTGTCTGGAACTGAGAGAGCCATTTAGTTTGGGACCACAGGTCCCACAAGAACAGGGAGTAAGAATGAAGTATAACACCATTCCAGTTAGATTTTTGTTCCAGTAAGTCAGTGTTGAAAATAAGCTGCACTGAAATCCAACAGCTTTCAAATGAAAGTGATTTTAAGAATTAATTTCAAAATTGGAGTTTTATTTCTAGGTTGCTGTGATGCAAACTAGTGTATGTATTATCCAAATAATAACAGAAATTGGGGAAAAGAAGTATTTTGGTACAGCTGGTGTGCTGAGTCTTCTCAGATTATTGAAGTCATCAACACCTCAGTCACTCAGTTCAACTCTGGTGTTAAACCTTGCCGGATGTTTTTACAGACCTCATCTTCATCATTTTGGGGTAGCAACTTGCACCTTTTTTATTCTTCTTTTTTTAAGAATAGGGAATATTTTCTGCAGCAAAAGAGCTCCTGCTTGTCATGTTTAGTGGATATTTCTGTCAACTTAATTAATGAGGCTTTAAATGTCTGTAGAAGGAAGAGAAGATATACTCCTTGGGATAATCAGTTTCACATGGAAGAGTGGTTGTGCAAGATCAAAGTCTCATTGCAAAAGGGAGGTTGTCGATTTTCCTGATGAATCATTATGATTGCTACATAACATGAATTCAAACATGTCTGTAGAGGTCTTAAGAGCCAGTCTTGTCTACCTGTTGGAACAGAGGACTTGAGCATTATTAGAATACTTTGGGTCCTGATGGTGCTCAGAGACTTCGTACATGACTTTAGTGTATCATTAGATCTGTACACATATTCATGTTGCCATAAAACTTGGTACCTTTCTGCTTCACCTGAACTTTGTGGGGTTAATATTATTAGCAGTTGCTCTCCTAAGTATTGAAGACAAAATAAACTAAAGAAAAAATAAGTAAGGAATCTGTAACCTAAATGGGAACCAGCTAATGTGCCTGTGGTGCTTGTATTTCAGATTCAGTGCAAGACTGCCCACGTCACTGTCATGGGAATGGCGAGTGTGTATCAGGTGTCTGTCACTGTTTTCCAGGATTTCATGGAGCAGATTGTGCTAAAGGTATCATTGTCCCTGTGTTTACAAATAACCACAGTGTGTGTTCGTGATGTATGGATCTTCAGTGCCTGCTAGTTAGCATGGGTCCAAGCTAGATTCAAATAGATCAATATGCATTTTTTTCCTTAGATCCCTTAGTTAAAGACAATTGAGTGGAAGTATTGCTACATTGCCACTGAGCTTCCACAACTACAGCTGTTTTTGTGTCAAAGGTAGTAGGCAGAAGTGGCAGAAAAGATTTATTTTCTGCAAAACTGGATGAATTATCAATGCTTTCAGATAATCCTTAACTGGTCTGCAACAGAAGACTGATTATCTTCATTGATAGCATGTAATGTATTTTCTGGCTTGGCTGAGCCTTACTTCCAATACATAGCACCTTTCTTGCATATACAATTAATCTTTGACCAAAGGAAGGTCACCTTTTTTTTTAGGAAAATAAGTACGACCTGATAAAGTCTTAAAATAAACTTTTTCTTAAATGCTGATCCTAAATTTTAGCAACTAAACCCAGGAAATGCATAATTATCAAGGATTAAACAGAAATCTAAAAGACATCTGTGGATTGGCTGTATGTATTTACTAAGTTTTTTCTGATAGTTTGGGATAGCAGTCACAGGGAAAAGATTCATAAAGGAGGACCTCTTTAGTTTATACAGCTAGTAGCACATATGTTGTCTAAATTCAATGACTAGCTCATATTCCCTGCTGTTCCTGAGCAATCAGAACATTTTACAATTTGCTTCCTTCTTAGTGTTGAGATTTAGGCACACTATCAATAGCATAAGCTTATAATTGTTTTCCACAGGGATAGGATTGTTAGTGTTCAAAGGGGGAAAGCCTAGGGTTTGAAAGCTGTTTGACATGCTTTGAAGGGCCTTCAATGTGCTCATTTCTTCTTAGATTCCTGACCCAGTCCTGAGGACAGTTTGTTGTGCTCCACTTCTTTCACTGGTGTAGCAGGGTGGCATCCAGCATACCCATGTGCGTCTATAAAATACTCCTTCAGTAGCTGTTATAGTAGTACTGGAGGGAGTAATTTCCATTTCCTGTCTCCATGTTTGGCTCTTGAAGGTGCCCCAGTATAAAAATATATATATATAAATAGAAGAAAAGACCCCAAGGGCCTTGGAAAGCTAATGATGTTATTTCAGTACTAGCTCTACTCATTTTAAAGATGGCTTCAACTAGCATGCATGTTGTTTGATTACCTGAGAAATTAAAGCACTTTGGCAAATCTATAGAGGAGATACCTGTATATTACAAAGTAAATGGTATGGTAATGTGTGCTATAAATACACAGTGACAGCTATATGCATTTCTGTGGTGTTAACCTGTGAAAGTATGCATGCAGTGACTGTGTGCTTCACTGCCACCCTTCACACATCCATGGCCATTAAATCAGTCCATTTGCATTTTGAGTTGTGGAGCAGTCCTGCATTGTGTACTGAACCTCTGTGTAACACTGTATTCTGTGTTAATGCTAGAAAGTACTTGTTCAGGCTGTGTAAGATAAGTAGCTTTTTTATAGGGTACTTGTCAGACTGTACCTGTCAGGCTTCTCCTACCCCTCGGTACCTTCCCTCTGCTTCCTGCTTTGTCCTTTCTGTGTTGTCTCTTTCCCCTCAAAAGCAGAAATGATTTCTTGGAAGCTTCTTTCAACTCTTTTACTGTTTTCTTGTCAGACATCATGGTATTTCTAAAGAACAAAGACACTTGAAAAGCTACATAAACTGACAAAAAGGCTGTGTTGGCAGAATTCTGGTGTTTCTGTGCAATCATGTAGCTGCACATCTTTGCACTATGAGACATACCCAGAAGTGTGCTTCTGAGTTGGGTGTAAGGGCTGAATGCCTCACCCATTTCATAGCACTGTCAGGCCTCTTCTAATGTCCACAGATTTTTCTGCTTACTTGAATGCTGATTATATGTGAAAGCAGTTTCAGAAGACAGAAATGAGAATTGGAATTGGCTGCATGGTAAAACACAGTAAAATGAGAGAGAGAATTAAATGTTTTCCGGAATGCTGTATGTGTGGACACATGTTTAATATACATTTACCATAATGTTACAGTTATATTTAAGCTGTCACAAGTATGGAAGGATAATGATTTTCTTTCCATCTGTTTTTTTTAAATTTTTATTTTCCTAGCAACACATCTTTCACTGTCCTAGTTCTCCACTGTAAAATAATTTGAGGCAAGACTTAAATAGAGTAATGTGGAGAAAACGTGAACAAGTTTCCTCAGACAGCTTTTAGAACTTGATTCATGCAGTAACACAGCAGTACAAGAGCTTCATATAGGGTGAAACCCAGGTTTGATAGATAGGAAGCATAATCTTTTATAGCAGTGAGTCTCTTGTTACAGGGCTGCTCTTGAGGGCATCAGGGGCAATGAATCTTGAGAGAAGTTATCTGCAAACTATTTGCAGACAGTGTGCAGGCACTCCCTCTGTTACTTTACTCCATCCACGTAGTTCTAAAAGGTAAAAATGAAGGAAATCTATGAAAGACAGCTCAGATTTGACTTCTGATCCATTAGCTCCATGAAAATACCATGAAAATTATTAGAGATGAACTTTTGGACCAATCCACAGGCTGAAATAAGTTTTCATACCCTGTTTGAAGTGAAGGAAATTTCACCTTCTCAAACACTCTTGCAGAATACTGGGGAGGGTTTATTTCTTGCTCTTATCTGTGGAAATAGCTTATTCTCAGGTAGCCGATATCAACAGATTTATTCCATCCTTGCTCAGGCACAATTGCCTATGAAATCATTTGGTGCTTAACCTAATTAAGAATTCCATCATATACACACAAAGGTAATCATACATTTTAATCTCATGTAGATAAAATACGGCATATAAAGAAAAAGAAAGTCTGATAATCAAAAGATAATGCAGTGCGTGGAGATGTATCCTGATAAAGAAAATGTGTATAGTTAAAACCAGTGAAAGATTTGCTGTAAATTGAACTGTGCCATGAGTAACGTCCTGTCCACAATTATCTGTAGCAGTTACTGATAAGAAGAGATGCTATGGCCAAGGATCGATTAAAGAATCAGACATGCAGCTATGATTATGTTATTTTGGTGTGTTGTCACTTTTTTATATTCATCTCTATTTTCCTGTAACCTCTATGCCATAACCACCCAATTATATCAAGATGTCCTTCTTAGTGTTCCCACTGTTAATGTCTGATAATAGTTTGGTCTTTCAGCTGCCAAGTTCTGCGGTAAATCCGCAAGCAGGCATCCTTTGTCATGTCCTGCTTTTCCCCATCTGCAGAGTTCAGTGTTGCAATGAGTTGGATTCCTAGAAGTGGCTTAGAGTTGGCTACAATTTTGTCCTATCTCATAATATATTTTAAAGGCACGCAACTCTTCCACTCCTTTAACAAAGATACTTCCAAAGATACTGTCTGATACTGATTTGCAAATGTGCTCAGAGCCTCCTTTAATTTTGAATTTTAAAATACTAGGATTGCATCATGCACATATTTAGCTAATTGGAAAAGGTGAAGCAATGCACCATCACATGGGATCTCTGCATTGACATGATGAGCATAGCCTGTTAAGAGATGGTATCTCATTTGTAACAGAAGGAAAAAATTGAGTCAAGTCAGATGCCATGAACTTGCTGTTTAGCAGATACTTTCCGTTGATTATGCAATGTAATAAGAAACATTTAATATTTAAATCTAAATGGATTGAAGGTGTTGGGGTTTTTTAAACCAGAAATTTGTGCCATGTTTGATCAGTTGACTTTTTAATCTGATTTTAAAAGCTCGTAATTATTCAGATTTATGTTATTCGCAGTTTCTTTTCCTGTTCTCCTTGTGTGGGTTTTTCATTCTTTTATTTTCATTCTGTTTGTTTTTGGCTTACTGGCAAAGGACGGCGCCACTTTAATAAGTATAAAAAGAAGGGTAGGTTTTTTAAAATTTCTTTTTCTTTCTTTTGCAACATCTATTTAATTTGAAATAGTTGCTAAGCTGTAAAGTGTAGTCTATATATTTTTGAATTTATTCTAATGGATTTGCTGTTTCTGATGATTGCCCGCAGCACAATAAGAGTTCCTACCACTGCCATTTCCTTTGTTATGTGTGTACTGTTAATCTCTGCATAAAACTGTAAAAAGCTGACAATTATTAGGTAAGTAAGGTATAATTGCTAGAAGTAGCAACTCTTGCTTTTTCTCAGTTGTTATTATTCAAATTTCAGTTGTTTGGGACTCTTCTTGCTCTGAGGTTATTCAGAGGCTTATTGCTTGGGCAGTGGTGCATAAAGTAATGTTTTTTAGTCCATTGAATACTCTGTTTGAAACTGTTCTCTTAGTGCTATGTCCAGATTGCTCCCAGTGGCATAAGATGTTCTGGGAGTGATTCCAATGGGGAAAATATGAATTTTGGAGTGCATCTTGATGAATAATTCAGTACTCAGTTCATTGCTGTAGAGTATGTGGTCCACGTGAATGAACGGTGTCCAGCATATGCTGGTAATGTATAGGAGATAATATTTCCCCTTTATGTGGGTAAGGAAAACAATATTTGCCTTTATAATATGGCTAGAAATTTTAGGAACGCAAAATAGTGCAAGCAGAAGCTCACTGGACTTTGAAGGGAAAGGTGAGAGCTGATACTGAATAGCCTTTCTCCTTTGCCTGTTCTGCACGTTTGTAGCCTGACAGCAGAGATGGGACCCACGGTGAGGCAGCACTTAGGGTCTTCTGTGGCGCAGTCAAACTGGTGAATATGTCTTGGACTATTCAGGTGACTCACTGCAAATTTATGCAATAACTGATTATAGGTAAGACAAGTGAAGTACGTTGGATTACAGTACCCAAAGCAGGTCAGCTAGACAGACAAAAGGAACAACAGTACAGGAAAAACGCCATCTTTATGGTATTACGAAGAGATTGTCATGAGTAATAGTACTTGTTAAAGCGAATCTATTGTGGTTAGTGCTTCACAAGCAAAACAAATAAGTAAAACCGGTGCCTAT